GTGGGGTCCTTCATGATGCAGGTGGCCCTCTTCCTGCATCTGGAGGTGTAGATGTCTGTGATGGTGGGGAGACTGATTCCAACAGATTTCTGTGCAGCCTTCACCACTCTCTGCAGAGCTTTTCTTTCTGCAGCTGTGCAGCCTCCATGCCACACATTGATGCTCGAGCACAGGATGCTCTCCACTGCACACACACTCTGTTTGTCCCTGATCTATGACACCTCCTCCAGGCAAACTTTTCCTCCAGGAAAGAGATAAAACTCCTTTCCTCTCCTCGTCACTTCTGAGTTATATTTCAGCCGAATGAGTGGATCCAATCCACACTGACCCCTCTCCTATGGTTCATCACAGAAACAAGTTCGAGTGGCAGCAACGTCTAAACATTTGTTTTTTAGACCTAAAAGGAATGGTCAGGAACATTTTGTGTAATTCCCCCCGTCATGTGATGCCTCCCAGATACCAGTGTATACAGTTTGGGTGGTGTTTTATTCTCGTTTCCTTTCAGTGTGTCAGGGGGCTGCTGGGGACCTGGATGGAGCGAATGAAGTTTTCAAAGATGTTCAGAAGCTGTTCAAGAGAAAAAACAACCAGATAGAGCAATTTGCTGTCAAAAGGGTTGGTCTTCTGCAACTTTTACATCTGGTTTTTTTTGGTCTGTTTTGAAAATCATCACAAATGTGTTGTACTCCCACATGCAGGCTGATAGACTGAGAAAGGTCTCGTCTACCAGACAGCTATGCATCCTTGGGGTAGTCGAAGTCCTTTATCTTTGGAAAGCCCTTCCAAACTGCTCACCGTCTAAGCTGCAGATAATGAATCAAGGTTAGTGCAACATGTGGGACAAAACATATTTCTGTAGGACTTTTATTTTTGCCTTGTGTGAGCACTTCCTTTGATTTGCACTCAGTGTTGCAGAGTTTAGATGAACCTTCATGCAGAGGCCTGAAACATCTCCTCCTTGGTTCTATTCATAAATGCCATGGAAACATAAGAGATGCTGTTCAGGTAGTAGTCCACTTTGGACAAATACTGCCCCTGAAGTTATCCTCAACTATGAATTCCCCTCATCTGCTGTTTTTTCTTCATTTTGCCTGTGATCCAGTTCTTCCAGCTGGCTGTTAGAGACGAGTATGGACGGCAGATCAACTCATATATTCAACCTTATGCCGTCTATGAGCTGGGATGTATACTTCTTGCAAAACCAGAGGTTAGTTGTCTGCTTGCAGCATGAAAATCTGTATTCTCACCTGAAAGGCAGGAGATATTTTGAAGGCAGATTTTAATGAAACTCACAGAAAGTAATCATTGTACGTACTTCTACTAAAGTTTGGAGTCAACTATGGCTGCCACAGAGCTTAATCACAAAAATGGTGACTACTCAGTCCAGTTTGCAGACATTGAGCTAAAATGGTGTGTGTCTGAGACTGAGCTACCACACAATTGTTTATAACACTAATGACTCAGGAACTGTATGTTTTGTGTAACTCATTTCAGACAGTGGCGAAGGGGAGATCGTTCCTACTTCAAGCCAAGGTAAAAATAATAAAAATCAAGACATACATTTCAAGTAAAACACATCATAATTTATTTTTTTATTATCCATTGACATTTTCAGGAGGATTTTACAGGCTACGACTTTGAAAACCGGCTTCATGTTCGCATCCATTCAGCTCTGGCTTCTTTGAAAGAAGTAGTGCCTCAGTGACTCCAGGAGGAAACCTTCGCTGGCCCAAGCTTTGCCCAAAGTTATAAGGCAGTCTCTGTTTACCATTCTGGTGAAAAGTCAACTTGGTTTTATTGATTTTGTTGTTGTTGTTGTTGTTCTTAAATGACCTAAAGACATAATTTAAGAATATGATAATTTGTCAGAGCGACAGGGTGAAGTGCCATCTCTGTGCATTCATAAAGGAACAGACACTGACAGTACATATCCCTTGTGTGGCTAGCTCACTACATTAACGCTCCATGTTTTGTTTTTACTGAAATTTCCAGTACAGAAGGAATGATGTCTAAAGATTGGATTAAAATAATACAAGCAGTAACGCCGATGTCCCCCGTCGCTGAGGGGTTCAAATAGTGAACGTCTTGTAGTTTATGAGAGGAGTGTTTTTCTGGACTGGAGTTGAACAGGGGATGTAAGTAGACCTTAATGTTTTTGGTGCAAGACATTCAAGTAGGTAGGAGTTACACTGTGGAGAGTGTCTGAGGCAGTGCAGAGGGGCAGATCTTGACGAGTGGAGGGAGACGTTTTATCCACCAGCAGGTGCAGTGGTGGAGCCAGGGGGTGGCCAATGGTGGATTAATTGCCATAGGTTAAGCTTAGGCCACCCCAATCATTTGAGAAAATTATACTTTTAAGAAATATAAAAACTAGAAAGCGTAGTTTCCTCAAATTATATGGGTGGATGGTTGACATATCAATATGGTGGTGGCCATCTTGGATTTTGACATGGACGCCCAATTTTTGATAGAGACCTTTCTTACACCTAGATGCAGCAACACACTGAGAATGAAGTCGGTACCACGCTTATTTTTAAGTGATGACGATCACAACACAGACAGACATTTATGGTGGCAGCCATCTTGGATTTTGATATGGCTATCCAATTTTCGAAATGAACTTTTTACCACCTGGTGGTGGATGGGTTAAATGCAGAGACTAATTTTGCCATTGTATGGAAACACACAGTGATGACATTGTGATGACATTATTATTGTTATTGTTATTATTATTATTATGCCTAGATGCATCCACACACCAACATGGAAGTCTGTACCTCACTTGTCGTCTCAGACGGATGGAGAGGATTTTCAAATCTTCCTATTTTGCTCCATGACGGGGGACAAAAAGTAACTCGAGATCACTCTGAAGTTTTTAGTAGGTGTTTTTAGACGAGCTTTGTCTCCAGGTTTATGTCACGCTAAGCCCAGCCTGTTTCCAAACTGAATGTACAGAGATTAAACTGAAAAATTAACTTACATTTCCATCCATCCATTTTCTTTTTCCTGCTTCTCCTTTCCGTCTTGTGGGGAAGTCACTGTGTGAGAGGAGGGGTGCACCCTGAACAGTCTCACGTCCATCACAGGGACACAGAGGGACACCGAGACATGGAGACAAACACTCTCACTCACACCCAAGGACAGTTTAAAGGTACCAACTAACCCTGTCTTTAAAATGGTTTCCTCATTGCGGTGTTCTTTCTGCACACAAGTATTTTACTTTAATAACTGTAATAAGTATATTTCACGTTCTGCTTCTTCCTTCAGCAACTATCCCAGCACTTAAGCTTTTCTATAAACCTTTTTCCTCTAACTTTACGCAATTTTTGATGTTTTCCTGTAACTTAAAATAATACAGTGTACAGCTATGTCTTCATATTTAATTCAGTTTAATTTACCTCCTAAAAATGTAACAACATAAACAAATGTCACAATGTGGAACACTGAAAATAATAATTCTTTAATTTAATAAGTTGCTTTAGTGCTTATAAATGACTGTGTTGGTACAATTTTAATTATGTCTTCAAAGTTCATGCTCAGTAATCCAAGTAAAGAAATCCAACAATGTTCAGTCAGGTCATCTGGACAGTTACTTTTTTTGTTGAGACGTTTCACCCTCCATCCAAAGGACTTCATCAGTCTGTGGAGTCACAAACAAACTGTTTCCCCCACCAAGCAGTACACTCCTTCAGTGGACCAACCAGTTTGCTGGTGATATGGATTATTGAGCATGAACTTTGATGTCTTGAACCATTTTGGTTGTGGTTGCCTGGAGGAGTCGACGGGGGAGAGGACGGCCCCCAGAAACCATCTTATCACCAGCAAACTGGTTGGTCCACTGTAGAAGTGTACTGCTTGGTGGGGAAAACTGTTTGTTTGTGACTCCTCAGACTGATGAAGCCCTTCGGATGGAGGGCGAAACGTCTCACAACAAATAAAGTAACTTTCCAGATGACCTGACTGAACATTGTTGGAAATTTAACTATGACCTTTTTTAATGAATGCAGCTTTTCTGGTTCTGTACTGACTACAGAGGGTTGCAAACATATTCACCCCCTTCATTTCTCAATTTTCTTGCCTTTTGAAGTAGTAATTTAAAAGATTTTTTTGTTTTTATGGGCGGGTGGGAAGGTTGTATCTTTATTAAATATGAGCACATGTATAGCACAACTACCACTTCCTGTAAGTCTCTTCAGCTTCATCTCCACTGGCTTGTTTCATTCATTTGATGTGATCTTTGTTCATCTTCATGGCATCACTACTTCTCCTTCATTACAGGTGCTGCTACAGTAATCTTTACATCAAACTAAAGACTCAGTAAAGGTTAGGTCAGGTAACATGATGGATTAGTGGTTAGCTCTCTTACCTCACATCAAGAAGGTTCTGGGTTCAATCCCTGGTTTGGACCTGTCGTCTTTCTGTGTGGATTTCCAAAACGTCTCAAGTTTTTTGGGGCGGCTGTGGCTGAGTGGATAAAGCAGTCGTCCTCCAATGCAAGAGTTGGGGGTTCGAATCCACCAGCAGTCAAATGTCGAAGTGTCCCTGGGCAAGACATTGAACCCCTCATAGCCTCTGATGTGTCCCATCAGTGTATGAATGTGATAAAGCTCTGATTAGTCTCTTTAGAATGATTTGTTCAATTAGTTTTGTATAGATCTAGTATAGAGCTGTATGAATGGGTAAATGATGCACAGATTGTAGTGTAAAGCGCTTTGAGTGTCTTGAAATAAGATAGAAAGGTGCTATATAAGTACAGTCCATTTACCATTTACCATTTTAGCAGCGTGTTGAGGGTCGTCCTGCTAAATGTGAAAACTGCTTTGTGCCATGCTGACCAGTTTCCCACTTCCTGTCAATGAAAAATGGGCCCACAGCATGATGATGCCACCACCATGCTTCAATTTTGGGATGTTTACAGCATGACTGATGGTCGAACAGTTCTGTTGTACTCTCATCTGACCACAGCATCTTTTCCACATGATTGAAGGGTCTCCAATATAACTTTAGACAAGTCAGCCTATTTTCTATTTATTTTCTTACAGCCGCAGGAAGTAGTCATAAACTTATCTAGACCACAATGCAAAATACTGCCTTTGAGCATGAGCATTAGTAAGTGTATAAAGTTGCATTAAAGGTAATAGTTGGGTCTTAAAAAGGGGGCAAACCCAGTTTTCAGTTTTGAAATTTGTTTTAAAACAAGATTTTTTTTTCCTTTATAAAAGGGATTATTTTTGTGTGCCCACTGCTTATAATCACATTAAAATATTTTAAATACTGGTTGTAAGGCAATAAAATAGAAGGAATACCAAGGGGTGAAATTAGTTGCGATCTGCTGTATCACTAATTAAGAAATATGATCTTGTTTTAGACAAACATTCAGAAGTTTTTTAATGTTTTTAGAATATGTTCAAGCTGAGCACATGTCATCACTGGGCTCTCTGGTTTTGTTATCTAAGCAATATGATTATAAAAGCAGGCGTTTAGTTGTTCACAAAGGCTTTCAACCATGAGCACTTAGATTTATTTACGCTGATCTATATATAGTAATGCTTGTCGATCCTTGTGGCTGTGATGGATGCAAACTGTGGTAAATGTTGGGATGGCTGCAGTGCAGTGAAAATAACTTTTATTAAAAACACGTTTCACATGTAATACCTCTGTCACAGGATGGATCCTTCATTTGTCATGTGTTTTTGTTGAAACTGAGTTTATAAGTTAAGATGTCACAGAACTAAACAATAAAAAGTTCTTTATAAATAATGATTTTTACGTCTGAGTTTCTTTTTGTTGAAAGTTTTGGAGGCCTTAAGATCTTGTTTCATTATGTATCAGCTCGTAGGCTGATATACTCCTTGATTAAAATGTTGCAACGTTAGGAAAACCAAGTGTTTTAAATCTTGAGATTGAAACTGAAGCTCTGAGAAAACAGCAGGCGTGTTAGTGTAGATGAACAGATGCTCAGATATATTCATCATTTAACACGGATTCCTCATTTTTCTGGACTGAATAAAACGTGCATTGAATTTAAGGAAATGCAAACGTGAGACGTCATTTATATTTGACCCATCAAAATGAATGCGGTCATTTATTTACAGAATCAAAATTTAACATCAAACATTTACATTAATTTGGCAAATTATGAAAATAACAACATAAGCAATCAATCAGGAAAAATCATACGGCCATGATTTTTCCGTTGCTTCACCACAGACATTTATGAAAACTGTACAATTATGATCTTTTACCCACATGAATGTAGGTGAGCATTTTACACAGACATTTCTAAAATATCTGGAAGAATTTCTACTTGATAGAAAAGTTTAAAGATGGAAAGAAGTTTAGAGGGAGTAAGATGGTGTGTGAGGGGTGAAATGTGTTCACCAGAATCGACACTCTCCGGCTTTCTTCAGCTTTTCCTTACAGTACACTTAAGTGATGAAATCGGCTCCTTTACCTGGAGATGTCTCAGGTGAGATTCCGTTTAACGCACCCTTTCAGCGTCTCAGTAGGATGCTGTTACTCGTCCGAAGTAATGGCGAGGCTCTGTTCGACACATATTCACCTCAGTGGAAAATGTTATAATCCCATGGAACTCGGAAGAGCTCTGTTGTCAGGATCATCCCGTCTCTCACAGAACTGGTTGGACTGTGTATCCAGCAGAACTCCAACAGCACTCCATCAGAACTTCAACAGAACCAAGACCGAG